GATGCTTACGCTCTTTAAGCAGGCGCTCACTCTCTGTCCATGCTTGTATATGCAGTGTTGCCATTTTAGGCGTTTTCCGGCTAGATTTAGTTGCAATAGCAAACAGCCGGAGAAGTTTCGGTTTAGCCGGAAGCCGATTTGTTAGCCGTTTTGTAAGAAAAATTAGCCGTTTTTAGCCGATTTTGCTATTTCTTTGTTTTCTTAAAATTCAAATACATATATATGTTTCCATTTTTGACTAAGCGACCCAAAATCTGTTAGAAATGGCTACTAGCGTTATCGTGGAGGCAGGGTTATATAAAATTGGGCCGATTTCGATTATTTTTTTTTTTACACATATATTTTTTTCTAAAGAAGGCCGTAACGGGGACTTTCTTCATAAAATGTTTGTTATCAATGACTTAAATTTAAGTGTGAAGTTTTATTCGCAAACTTAGAAAATAACAAATAGTTTCACTGTTTGCTTAACAGGCGTTTGTGTTTGGATATACTGCCAAGAATAAATGTATATTCAATTCTGCCTTAATTACAAAACATCATTTTTGCCCACGTTTAAAGTTTTAAGGCAAGGTTAAAATGGATATTTTCAAGCACTATGTACACATATGGGCTTACTTAAACTAACTTTTTTTCCTTAGAACTTATTTAAACTCCAAAAACCGAAGGCCAACTTGAATTAAAAAAACCAGCACTGAAATGCATAAAAATGAAAGTAAAAGAGAACAAAAAACAGGATCTACATGTATATTTCTTGCTAGTCCGACTTTCTTCAACATACGTTTCAATTTCTTTGCCGTACTAACTGTCGCGTTACCTATATCGACTCTGGTTGAGATTGCGTTACGAGTACGTTTCAAATCATTGGAATTAACTAAACTAATTAAGTAAACAAGTCTTTACTTAAATTTTTTATTATAAATCGCCCAAGTTTGTAAATTTTAAAATTTGACGAACCTGTTTATTCAGATTATTGTCGACAAAAAATCCAACCATTAAGCCGTTTTAGCCGTGGGAATTGCGCTATTTTCAGTATTTTGGTGCATTTTTAAATAAAAAAACTTGGCGATCAGGGCTGCCAACTTGGCTCAAACCGTGCCATTTTTGGCACTATTTTACTTGAAATGGCACTGAATTTTTCAATTTTGCACAAAGTGCCAAAATGGCACTTTTGAAAAAAGCCAAATTTAAATCATTTTTGTGAAATCCTTTGCGTGTACTTCTTTTTCTCAACTAAAATTTTCTAATTTCTATAGTGTATACAACTGGTTTATCTTACTTTGACATTGGGCTTTTATTTTAATTTGTCTAATTTTAATGCTAATGGGAAGAACTAAAGAGATTGACACCTTTTTTGGCACTTTTAATTTTCTGTTTGGCACGTTTTAGCACTTTTTTATCCTCAATATGGCACTTCATAGCTATGTATGTTTGGCAGCCCTGTTGACAAATTTGATCACTAACTGACCTTCACCGAGCGCTCTTTGCTGGGTTCGGACTACAAAAATGGAAGTAAATATCAAGTATTCGTAGTACATGTGCATTTCTTATCTTTATAAAAAACAATTCATTTCTCCTCGTATCCTTGTACAAATAAGGAGCTAAAGCGGCCTTATAAGAGTCGATATCTGTAGACTGGAAAATCGACCAGCTAGTGGTTGAGATGTCATTTACACGGGTCGATTTTGGTTGAACGACAAAAATCTACTACAAAATCGACCCGTGTAAAGGCGCCTTAATACAGCGAGCAATTATCATTAAAGTTAAATAGCCTTGGTTAAAATTTATAAAGAGTTATTTCATTCTTCCTTTACCGGGACAATTGTTACATCGGTGGGCAACGACGCAATTAAAGAACTTTGACCCTAAACCACACAAAATCCTTGCGCAACCCGAGACTTGTACAAGTCAATATTGTGGAATTTACTACAGCATAAAATTGCGCAAACCTTATTTTGAAGAAACGTTGCTCAAGTAAATATGTGCAAGAAATATGAATGTGCGTTGTATATATTGATAGCTTCATCTTTAAAACGTAAAAAAAAACTAAATTCAAAAAAATATATTTTTTTCGATATTTCGTAATGTTTTTGTGTGGTTTAGGGGTCCTATAACAGTTATAAGAGTTACCCAATCAACTTATAAATATCTATATATAAATTGTGAGACTTCAAATAACAATAAAAAAATATTAGCCTTTAGACTAGTAGTACTATTCATAGTTTTCGAAAATTCATTTCTGCCAGCCGAAAGTATCAAAATACGGCATTTGGGAACGAAAAAGGATCAGATATTAAAATTTAGAAAAACAGTATTAAAAAATATACAATTGTACCAAAACGGCAACGCTGATCGTGATGGAACACGCCTTTATCCGTGTCTAGTGACGATATAGCATATTCTACGGGTAAATGCAATTTTAAAATTTTTTACAAACTAAAACTTAAAAGAAAGTTTATTTTCCATTTCTTGGGCAGCATTTTATATGATTTTTTCGTTTTTCTCGAGAGCTGGAAATAGTTCTTAAAAAAGGTCAACATAGGAGTGTGCCATCCTAATGACCTACAGTGAATAAGTTAATAATATTTTTAGAAAAATTACTGATATGCAGTTTTGTAGCCCATTCAATTATAGTGTAATTAAGTGCAAGTTTGAAGTGACTCTAAAACAGCCCCGATTTTTCAAATTCATTTATTTTTTATTGACAGTTCTGCGCATTTTATTCCATATAAATGTTTTGTCGAGCATACTTTGTATGAGAGAAAATGCGCAGCACTATCACCAAAAAAATTGTCAAAAATCACCGCTATTTTACGGACACTTGAAACTTGCACTTAATTAAATAAAATTTAAATAAAATTTACACACTTTTAAATTAAACTTTTTTTCTTTCTTATGTGATGATACGGCTTAATGTACATACATATCTCTTTCTCTGCATGATTCATTTCGTTTGTTGTTTTGTCTGTAACTACTAAACGACTGGAGTGTACTATCGCCAAAGTGAACTCAGTTGTTTTGTTTCTGTATTGTACCGAACTGTTGAAGTAATAAACGAAGCGAAATAGTAACGTACAATATATGTAGTTTATTTTCGTTCACTTGCGCTGTTCACAGTTCGTTCCGAATTGTGTCTGTAAATGTAACGTCTACATTTTGAGACATCTTTAGCATCAAACTGTGAGCACCCCTTTCTAGCAGTCGTCGCAAAATCGTCTCAAAACTTGGCTGGTGTTGCCAGACATTTCCTCTTAATTACCAATTCCTAATATTTGTTATTTCCTTTCCTTGATTTGTTTCTTTTCATCAGAAATTGAGCTCAAATTAAATCCAAATACAGAAAACGTGCCCAATAAATAAAAAAATGTGATTAGTGTTGCCATAATGCAACCTTGCTGCGAGGTTGCAAAATGTAGACGCGAAAAAAACTAACCTTTGAGTGTGACAAAATGTAGACGGCGTCGTTTTCCATTTTTGTATCGGAAACAACAACACCACAGATTTTACGGTTAGAAAACGTCTTAAAATTTAGACGTCTACATTTTCAGACACTATTTGGAACGAACTGTGAACACCCCAACTGTCTTCAATATATGCAGTTGAGTTGCAATTGAAAAATTAGAATATGCTTCCAACAGTTTTCTCGTACTCGGCACGTCTGAACTCAGTGGTTAATTTGAGTGTCACGGTTCAAACCCCAGTGAGCTCAAGAAGAAGTATTTTTAGGTGAGGTGGTGATCTCTGAAAAGGCAGCTGCATATATGTATGTAAACCACTTCAAATAATTTATGCAACTAATGCAAAATACAATTGCATGATTTTTAAAATACACATACAAAAATTTAATATATTCTAACAGCATGGTTTCATCGAAAATTCATGTGTCACAAAGCTTATAATTCATATCAAATGCACATTACCTTGGTAATTGCAAGGTAACTTCGTGTCAAACACTGCACAATTCCTCCAAATGTTTAATATTTAATGGCACAAACAAATTTATTGCTTGCAAAGGTTTAAAATATCGCTACAACATGCGAAACGTGCAATGAGAAACGTGAAAATGACAAAGTTAGAAAAAAGGCAAGCAAGATATTGCAATGCCATTCAAAGTAATCGGAATTAAGCATACTACTGCTGACTAATGATTAATAATACAAGTTTTATAATGAGCTAAATGCACTCATGTATTTTTCATAATAAAGAAATTCTAGCATAAGTTAATGCTTCAGGTGTGCAAACCTTGGCTCTTCATGCCATGTATGTATATTCTTTTCATTTCTTCTTTTTTGCACCGCAAACTTTCCTATCCAACAAGTGGCCAACGAATGGGCCTTTCTGCGATGGTTAAATATCGCGTTTTATTCAACGAGCCGGCACTCGTACACATGCAAACATGCACAGAAATTATATATTTTATTTTATTTTTCCAAATTAAGTCCTTACCTTTCAATAAATATTTTAATTTAAATCGTCAGCTAATTTTGAATGCATGCAGCGTCACTATAAGCTTATTTGATACATTGTACTTCCACCTTCAATAAATAATTCACACAAAAAGTTTAGAAGGGAAAAGAATATGCACCCGCTTTTGGGTGAGGTATAACAGTGCAGCAATCACACCTGTGCGTGACGTCGAAATTGTGTGAGGAATTTGTGTGCGTATGAATTTTACGAAATTTAATGACAAACAAAAAGACATATGTACGTAAGTATGTATGTATGTACATACATAAATTATTTGGCTCATTGAAAATGTTGAAGGAAGCATGCCGTATCCTAATGTGTTAAAATATATAAATTTGGAAATCTTGTGCGGAAGTTGATTTACCGTTTTTAAATGTGCATTTGTACATACATAAATATTTATAGATACCGATGCAAAGAAACTCGGTAAAAACATGCAAATACAAAATTTATATACATTTTATGCTGTACTCTTATTTAATGTTTATTTTTTGCATACAAAATAGTCTTTATTGTAATATAATTCTTTCTTACAGAGCCAACAACAATTGGCAAACCAATTTTGCATCTATAAATAAATCGAATGAGAATTCACCTCAGACGAGTAAAAAGCAACGTGACTGCGGTGAATCTGCACGTGATAGCTTAGCATACTCCTGCCTATTAAAGAATGAGCTTCTTGGCACCGCCATTGAGGACGTGAAGGCGGTTAGTGATGAACGCAACGAGAACACCTACACACCAGCGGCGAAAAGAAGTCTTTTCAAGTACCAATCGCCCACAAAGCAGGTGAGTTCAATGTCGTCACTAGCGTCTGGGCTGCACAGCACGAAGTTGCACTGTATTTAGCTTCAAAACATAATTAAACCTTTTCATAGAAATAAGTGTATTGTTTAAATGCATAGCGTTAAAGTAGAGTTACTTATGAATAACTGCATATTGTATTAATTAAACTTAATGCACAAACGTTTAATGCTTGTTAGGTATTCATTGCATTCATAAACTACAATTAACCAGCAAATTAACATGTGAGGGCTATTATGGCTTTATTCTGCAAGTATCTGTTTCTTGTTTAAAATGCATTTATATTTCGTTAGTCCCTTTATAGACATGGTTCACAGATAATCCGTTCTGAGTTGCTGAAATTAACAGCGAGCACCGAAGCTGAATATGTTTTGTAGTGAACCCGCATGGCGGTAAAACGCCCAAAATTGAATTTCACAAATCTTAAAAATATTCCAAATATTAGTTAAGATTATAAGCGATCCGAGTGCCATATTTCATCTAAATCCGTGGAGCCGTTTCTAAGTGAAGACATAGTCTCGCATTGGGGACGTTTTTAATTTCACCAAAATTCAAATCAACTTATATGTACCGATAAAAAAGTTCTTAATTAAAAAAAAACTTTATCGCACATCTACAGGCTAAGATCTTTGACGAGACCTCTAATTTTTTAAATTCGAAGAAAAAACGGCGCAGATCGAATGACCACGAAAAAAATATGCCTTTTCGTATAATATAAGTACATACTTACATATATACCTAGTTAGATCGATATGACATGTCGGAAACCTGCCCAGGCTAATAAAAGGTGTTTTAAACTAAAGCTTTCATAAATCTCATTCGATTAATATTTCATTAAAGTTGTTGATAAGTTAACTAAATTCGACTTGCCAAACAGGTGAAATCCTTTTCAAAAGCATTTTCAAACCACAATTTTCTTAAATCTCTTTTGTCTGACATTGTTATACACATGTATTTCAATAAACTGATGAACTAAGTGGAATTTTACTGTTTAAACACGTGGCCATCCTCCTAAATAAAGGTCAAGAAATAAGAGTTTTCAAACCAATTTAGATTGATGCCCATATTTTAATAAATTCATGCAACTTATTGAATAATTTGAATGTAACTTTTTAAGCACGTGGAAACCCTATTCAAATATTCCAAATGTTCAAACTAAAGATTTCTTAACACTCTTTCTTTTGACTCCCGTATTTTGATATTACAAATAGTTTTTGTATTAGTTAATTAAATTAGACCTTTCAAATAGGTGGCAGCCCTCTTCAAAAGTATTTTCAAGCTAAAACGTTGGTAACTCTCCTTCGTTGGATATTGCGATAAATATTTTAATTAACTGATGAATTAAGTGGAATTTTATTTTTTAAACATGCGGCAACCCCTTTAAATATAATTCAGAAATAAGGATTTTTCAAACCCTCTTCCAATACCTCAAAAATATTTTTAGTGTTCAAACTAAATATTACTTAAAACTTTCGCGCTTAACATCCATATTTTTTCAAATTACTACCTTCTGAAAACCCTTTCGTTTGGCAACCATTCGGTGATACGTACTTCTCTTACCGAATTCGCTTAACTCAAATTGAATTTGATTTTAATTGAATTTGATTAAGAAACAAAGTTTTTCAAACCCATTTCGATTGATACCCATTTTGTAATAAGTGATTTATTTTTAAAATAATTTGAATATAATTTTTAAATGGTGGCAACTCCTTTTAGAAAAGTAAGAAGTTATAGTACATTGCAGTCCAAGCCTTTTAATATGAAAGATCATTTTGGAAAATCGAACGAACGGTGCGGGTATGATGGCATTGATTATTAAATACTTTGAATTTAATTGTTAAAATAAAACCAGTTTGCGCATCTACAGGCCAATCGCTTTAATTTGACACCCCATTTTTAATTCAGCAAATTTTCATCAAAATTTTCAACTTTTTAATCAGATTTTAGAATTTTTTTGAGTATGCAGCTTTGCAGCCGAATGTAGAATGCAAGTTCGGAGTTAGTCAAAAATCGCGTTGGGTTTTGAGAATTTTTTTTTGTTGAAGGTGTTTTGCATTTTTTCCATATAAAGTATTTTCGAAAAAAATGCGTGAAAAAAATTCCAAAACTCAACAGTAATTCCTATTTACTTAAAACTTGCTCTTTATAATAAAATTGATTGGACTACAAATCTGCAAACTCAAAAAATTGTAAAAAAGTTGAAAATTTTCATGAAAATTTGCTGAATTTTTGCGAGTTTTGCACATAATTTAGGAACTATATTTTTATATTTTTTGTTGTAGAATGAACCATATTTTTATACGAAATTAGCGGAAAAATATTCGAATGAAAATTGTTGCATATATTGTGAAAAATTTGCTGTGCCAATACTTTGTTCCGGCAGTGTACATATTAATAATAGCCGTCATCGATTCGCCACTTCTCGCTCGCTATGTTTGAGTTCCGGTCGTTAAAGAAGAATTTTGCATGTGAAAGCAACAACAAAGTTAGCTAGCACGGATAGACGATATCGAGTTTGGTTGTACCTCATTGAGTTCGTTCGTTTCGCCACTCGCTAACTGTTGGCGAATCGATGACGGCTAATGACAAAAAGACAATTTCAAATTTAAATTAGCTTAAAAATTATTACCGGCTTCAGTTGTCATGGAAACACCATTTTTCACATCCTCAAAGGGATTCAGTAGCGCATTTCAAGGTCATTGAGCACCCTGCACTGGTTAAGGCCCGTATGCAGCTCTAAAGAAAACGGACAAGACAAAATTTCCATTATTTCCTGTGTGTGTCCAAGGAATTTTGACACCTGAGCCTGTTGCCTCACTCTTTCCTCAAGAAATAATGGAACGGGCATATATTTCTTTGTAAACCTGTGTTGCTTTGTGCTCTTTTTCACAAAAAACTTTAGAAACCCGCAGTAGAAACCGTAGCAAATTTCTTAAGAACTGCGTAGTGCCTTAAGGAAATTTGACTCGAGAAAATTTCTTACCTATTTCTTGTACGTCATTTTATATGGAGTTTTTGCTTTTCTTGAGAGCTGCATACTGGCTTTTACAGTAGAAAATTGAAAGTTCATGTAGATATTACAAATACCAAAAGGAAAAAAACTAAGGGGGCGCCCCGTCTTCTACGATGACATTTTTTGCCCCTAAAAAAATTTAGACCACTCGAATACATACATAAATATGGGTGTTTTCTGGGTTACGGGCGTTCCGTTTGGATACACTTTTCTTCATAAAAACTATAGTAGGCTCTCAATGAACACAAATTTTTTGTCATGAATAGTCATCAACAATACCAATCTAAAAAAATATAAATACTTTCCACAAATGTTATATGGTAAGTGTATAGCGATTAAAAGAACCCTTTCGGACGTTCCCAAAATGGAACTCGTGTCGAAGATGGCTGATGAATTTTACAAAAAAAGTACGAGTGTAGTGTATGTGAGTATGAATTAGAGTCCGACCGATTAATCGGCATCGGCTAGTATCGGCACAAAATTGAGCATCGGCATCACCATCGGCACCGGCCTTTTTTCGCCGATTCTTTGGAATTTCTTTTCATATGTTCAGGTGAAGCGACAGACAACAGCCGACATCAAAAACCATTTACAGGCAGCCCACAAAAATGAATTTTTTTGGATGAAGGTGCTTCAGGTTTTTCCATACAAAAGTATGTTCGACAATTCTGCCAGCAAAAAAAATTTACAAAAGTTTACGGGATTTTATAGCAGCTTGAAACTTGCACTTCATTATACTTGAATTAAATGGTTTACAAAACCGCATACCAAAATTCTGATTATATCGTTTGAAATTTTGGTGAAAATAAGAAGAATTTTTCTAATTTTTATACAAAGTTGAAATCGGAATTTATATGGTGCTTTTATTTGTATACCAACTAGACATTTATAAAAAAATAATAAACATTAAATAAACAAAAGAAAAATGCCAAAAGCGGTCAAAATATCGCATTTTTTTATTTAGTGGACCACTATGTGTATGTACATACATACCTTGCATATAAGTTCTTATGCATTGATTGCAAAAGAGTGTATTTTAGTAACGAAATGAAATTTTATGTTCCTAAATATTTCTTGCTTAGCACCATATAAAAAAGTGTTTTATGTAATGCATCACTCCCCATACAAAAAAATTCAGTACTATTTTTCCATCTGAATTATAAAATCTATTATATTTTAAGGCGTCGACCAAAATATTTCGGAAAAATATTAAGATTTAAGTGAGCTGAACCGATTTGAAAATACATCCAAAAATGGAGTTTTTTATGAATAAAAATAGTTTCTTAAAGATTTTTTTTTTGAAAAAACTCTCAAATGACAAAACGGTTCAAGCTAAAAAATTTGCATAAATATATTTAAAAAAAATGAAAAAAAATTTTAACGGAATCGTAATGATGAGATTTTTGATGCTGTTTTTGGAAAGGTATTTTCGCACCCTTTCTATTTATTTGATAATAAACTCATTCAAAGGATGAAAGAGAAAGGTAGGATGAACGAACGTCATTCAAAGTTGGATTAAGATGTGTTGGTGTTTGAAAAAAAAAAAATGGGTCCCGAATGACTTTTTTTCGCACAGAAATAAAAACAGTGTGAAAATACGTTTCTACTGAGGTCCAGTTATTCAAGTTTTTCGTAAATCAATCATTGAGAAAAGTAAAAACACAGCATCAAAATTCTCATTCTTACGATTCCGTTGAAAAGATTTTTAAATATTTGTATGCAGATTTTTTAAGCTTAATCTGTTTTGTCATGTGAGGGGACTTTTTTCAAAAAGTTCTTTAAGAAACTATTTTTATTCATAAAAAACTCCATTTTTGGAGGTACATATTTTCGAATCGGTCCAGCTCACTTAAATCTTAATATTTTTCCGAAATGTTTTGGTGGACGTCTTAAAATATAATTGATTTGGTAATCCTGGCGGAAAAACCGCAACTTTGTTTGGTGATGCAGTCTAATGTAATGTATATAAATG